GGCATGGCCAGGTGGTTAAGGCACTCGACTCGCAATCTGAGGGTCGCGGGTTCGAATCCCTGTCACACCATACATGCTCGCCCTTTCAGCCGTGGGGGCGTTATAATATGACGGTCAATCCCACTATTTGTTTGTAAAAGAGTAGCCCAAGAGTTGGCGGTGGGTGGTGAGGACTAGCTGCATTCCCTCTAGTCTTACACTGCTAAATTAGGGACAGCTAGCGCAGATTAGCCTTCGTGTAGCTTTGCGCGAAATCTGTAACAAACAAACTTTTTACGTGGGAAGTAGTTTACCTTGTGTATTATTATTCTCTCATCCAGAATATTACAACACAATAAACTGTATTGACAAGAATAATTTGATAGTCCGTGTACTTGGGGTTTGAGAATATATTCAGGCAATCAATATTTTAATACTGCTTTTTCATTTCATTTTACTGCTTATATAACATGTTGTTATTAATAACAGAGAGTAAGTATTAACTTCTATTATTGGTTATTTGTGTCACATGTAGGAATTATCTGGTAGCGAAGCTCCATCTTTGTAAATAATGGAAGCAACAAAAAGGATCTGTATAGCTGGAGCTGGACCCAGTGGACTCGCATCCATTAAAGCTTGCCTAGAAGAAGACCTACAACCGGTGTGCTTTGAAAAAACAAATCAGTTAGGGGGGCTTTGGTGCTACAGAGAAGATGATGTTGAAGGTGTGGGCTCAGTGATGAAGTCTACCATAACAAATACTAGCAAAGAAATGAGCGCCTTTAGCGATTTCCCGCCACCAAAGGATTTTCCTGTTTATATGCATAATAGCTGTTTACTGAAATACTTTGAGATGTACGCAGAAAACTTTGATCTAGTTCGACACATTAGGTTTCGACATGAAATTCTGGAAGTAGCACAAAACCACGATTTTGACGAAACGGGACGGTGGAAAGTAACTGTCCGAGATATTGAAAAAGATGTTCATTTTGACGAGGTCTTCGACGGAGTGATGGTTTGCACCGGTCACCACGTATTTCCATACATCCCTACGTTTTTAGGACTGGAAACGTTTAAAGGCAAAGTATTACACACTCATAGCTACAAGAAACCGGATGGGTATGATGGCAAGAAGGTAGTGATTGTTGGTGTAGGAAACTCTGGAGGAGACGTGACTGTAGAGCTCAGTCAGACAGCTGAACAGGTTAGGCTTAAGTTGTTCTTTTAATCACAATACTCACTTAAGCGATATAAGTACACAAAGGGGATTAAAGTGTACTATAAGTACACAAGGGGGATTAAAGTGTACTATAAGTACACAAAGGGGATTAAAGTGTACTATAAGTACACAAAGGGGATTAAAGTGTACTATAAGTACACAAAAGGGATTAAAGTGTACTATAAGTACACAAGGGGGATTAAAGTGTACTATAAGTACACAAGGGGGATTAAAGTGTACTATAAGTACACAAGGGGGATTAAAGTGCACTATAATTACAAAAGGGGGATTAAAGTGTACTATAAGTACACAAAGGGGATTAAAGTGTACTATAAGTACACAAAGGGGATTAAAGTGTACTATAAGTACACAAGGGGGATTAAAGTGTACTATAAGTACACAAAGGGGATTAAAGTTTACCATGGTTTTCTATAAACCGTATCCGTTGCTTCATGTTACAGATATTGAAAATTGAGACTTACCAGGTTTCAAATCCATATTTGCATTCTAGTCAGGAAACGTAGTTTCTAACTCGAACGACACTTTATTAACACTTGAGCTAAATATCAAGGTTAGATATTTCTATGTTTCAGGTATAACCCGTCACTTTATGAGCACATAGGCTAAATGTCTAGGTTAGAGACTCCAAGACTTCATGTATATCCCGCCACTTTTATAACGTGCCCACAGCTGTAAGCGTGGTATGTGTTCAATGGTATCACGTCTCGGACCTTATACCCTCGAAACGCAGCCCAACACACTAACCGCTAAGCTATGTCTGATTCATATCTGGTAAGACTGCATTTCTCTCTTTAACTCCGTACTGCAGCTTCCTATCATAGTCTGATTCATATTGTACTTTGTACTGCATCTCTCTCAAACTACAAGGCTTTATAGTTGCTTAATTATGCTTACAGCTGTTATAGATTAGAGTAGTTGGAACTTTGTTTTTTTAAAAAATACTCACAATAAATCTCACATATAAACTCTGATCACACTAACCTACTTGTGATAGTTGCTCAAGTTAGATTAGTTATTCAGGCCGTACATCGATTCTGTACAGTAGCTTCTCGAGTCAGACTACGTTACAGTTAGTTATTCAGGTTATACATCGACTTTGTACAGTAGCTTCTCGAGTCAGACTGTGTTACAGTCAGTTAGTTATTCAGGTTATACATCGACTTTGTACAGTAGTTTCTCGAGTCAGACTACGTTACAGTTAGTTATTCAGGTTATACATCGACTTTGTACGGTAGCTTCTCGAGTCAGACTGTGTTACAGTCAGTTAGTTATTCAGGTTATACATCGACTTTGTACAGTAGTTTCTCGAGTCAGACTACGTTACAGTTAGCTATTCAGGTTATACATCGACTTTGTACAGTAGCTTCTCGAGTCAGACTACGTTACAGTCAGTTAGTTATTCAGGCCGTACTTTGACTTTCTCGAGTCGACCATGTTACAGTTTTTCAGGCTGTACATCATCTGTATACTTTACAACTTGTCAGGTCGGACTGCAGCTCTGAATTACTTGTACTAGGATACGACCGAATCCTTGTATTACAGTTTGTCAGTTCAGAATGAAACTATTTGACAATATCTGAGGTCAAATTGTAACATTGTTTTACATTTGCGAAATATGTGATTGAAACTTTAACATATTTGTTTGCCATGTAACTAATAAAAAATATAATAACAGTGTGTTTTAACAAAATAAAATATAATGCAAGCCACACGGAAAAGTGGAAAGGAACTAGGTTATTTGATTACATAAATGCTGTTAATTGATTATCATAGTTTTTGTAACCATATTAAGGTTTAGGTAATCTAATACAGGGCTGAATACTTTATATCAAAACGAGTTTGAATATGCAAGTCACGTGACAACCACACTCTATATAAAGTCGCGGTATGTACAACCTTTTCCGACGTAAAAAATTATTTCCTTCAGATCATAAGGATGTACTCGGATGGATTAAGATTTTATAAAGCGGGAATGTCCCTTTTACTTTATGGAACTTAGAAATAATGGTATATAAATCATCATGGGGCACCAACACCATCCAGAATAAGACTCGCAAACAAGTCATACCCCAATCGAAGAAACCAAAGTAGGGCGTCTTGTAACGAATGAGAATTCACCAACACAAAAGTCATTGGTAATAGACATTCACGTACACCATGCAACAGTTTACAACACAACTAAGCAGGATCTCGGTCTGGAAACGAGGACAATGGTTCACCAAGATAAGGCTTCCAGTCATACCTCCCATTAAACCCTCAAATACCAGCTGGAGAATGAAACGGGTATTCATGCTATTCCATTCTAAAACGAATGCAGCAGCTTTGTATTTCTGTGCAATTGAACTATTGTTTGTAGATAAGCACAAAGCTGCACAATGGGCTATCTGTGCTCTGCCCACCACATACCGCTGTGCCATTGGGGCATTTGAACTATTGAAACTGGCGCTGAGAAACCATCGTCTTTGAGCATGGAGGTTTGGTTTAGTTTGGTTTGACTGACAATAGGGACACACTAATCACTAGGCCCTCTGATTGACAGTAGGGACACATTAATCACTAGGCCCTATGATTGATTGTAGGGACATACTAATCACTAGGCTACACATTGCGAAGATCAATTACTATAAGACATGTGTTTCTTAGTATCACGATGGTTTGTTTGTTTGTTATGTATTTCGCGCAAAGCTACACGAGGGCTATCTGCGCTAGCCGTCCCTAATTTAGCAGTGTAAGACTAGAGGGAAGGCAGCTAGTCATCATCACCCACCGCTAACTCTTGGGCTAATCTTTTTACCAACGAATGGTGGGATTGACCGTCACATTATAACGCCCCCACGGCTGAAAGGGCAAGCATGTTTGGTTGGACGGGGATTCGAACCCGCGACCCACAGATTGCGAATCGAGCGCCCTAACAACCTGGCCATGCCTGGCCTATCATGATGGTTACTGGGGAGACGTTGTTATGTAAACCGTAAGTAACAGAAGTTTCGTGTGTATGACAATATTTTACACCTAAGATAAACATGTTTTAAGCAAAATATTTCGATAATAATTTCAGTGTTTATACATTTGAAAAAAAAATGTGTGTGTGTGTGTGTTTTGTTTTTGCTAAATAACAACACAAGACATTTTAACATTTAGATTATGAATGTATTTTTACAGAGATTAATGTTCCTTAGTTTATGGATCAGCCAATGTAATGGTATGACCATTTGTAGCCAGATTGGATCAACCAATGTAATGGGTGTGACCATTTGTAGCCAGAGTTTTGTCTGTCCATTCTTGCTCGCCAGTTGGGAGTATATACACATGATTATCAAGGATATTCAAACATTCTAGCCTGTGATTCTCTTCCGTTTAACAATTAAACAATTAAATCCACATATAAATGTGCGTCTACTCTGAAGCCCTAACCCTCAGTCTATCACTGTTGGTTGTCGAGGCTATGAAAAGTAAACAGAACATCAAGTAGGCCTCCACACATGTTCAGAACAGTTGACTATTGACACTTTACTCTCACAACCTTTATAGCCCAATTTCCAGTACCTCCAGTCAGATAAGTGTTGAATTCTCGATTTTCCTAGAGGTAAAAGTTTGTTCTCTGAAGTCCGAGGCCCCAGTTTGAACATTACATGCGACCAAAAGAAAAAGAAAAAAAAAGTGCATTTTTATTCATTCTGGGGAATTTCAGACATTTATTTACACTTAAAATGATGTTTTCATTTACAGTTGGCTTATATACTAAAAGAATAACAGTCATCTGCTAATATTGTTATACACTTTTATTGTAAGAATTGAAAAAATAAAATAAAAATATACATATCCTGATTAGTGTTCTTTGCTATATTCGTATGTTGCACTTTTGGAATCTTTCAATACCTGCTTACTGGGCTTGTATTTAATGGCTGAGGAATCTGAGTTAAACTTGTAGTTTAAAAGGGCACATATTGTGTCATGCCCTAAATCAGTCCTGTTCTCTGTTACGATCGTTCTCACCATTGAAAATACCCTTTCACTCGATGCACGTGGTACAACAAGCAGACATTATAACACAATAAAGTATAGCAATGTCACACAGTAAATGTTTACTTTATCCTGGTTGGTACTTTGTGAAGTTGAATTTGCTACTCTATTTTTTTGTTAAATTATTTAAAATGTTGATGTCGGGAGATCCTGGTCGCGTGTCGGAAGATCGGGAAATAGGACTCCATATCGGGAAACTCCAGCCGAAATCAGGAAGGTTGACAGGCCTGGTCATACCAGATGTCTGTTCGTACATTATACCAGAAGTGTCGAAACTGATGTGTACGATAGAAATACTTTTATTTTACGTTAAGTGCCATATGTCTTTTAAAATATCCGCCACATAGTTTTTGTTACTTTTTTAACTTTTACGGTTTAATTATTTTATAATTATATAATTTATTAATTCTGCTGAACTTTTCGCCTAATCTGCATATTTTTCAAATATATATATATATATATAGGTAGGCGTATGCCAAACTTTAAATATGACGTATTCTGTATTCTTTTTGAAAATGTGTAATACTAATCCTTTTGCATCATTGTTTGCGCTTGTTTTGTGTTTATATGATGAAACGATCGACATGCGAGTACGTGATATGAAGACCTGGAATCTCCTGAATCTACTTTAATACGTTTAAATTCACAGACTACGTAATAAAAATCTGATATAACGAAGACTAACGCAATTCACGTCGGAATTCATAGAAAAGCATTTATCACAGTTTGCTTGTTTTTAGAGTTTGCACATAAAGATAATTTTGAACTAATATTTTGTTTCTTTGATTCTTTATAGATATTCACGCAAAGTTAGTCCAGGGCTTTCTGCGCTAACTTTCCCTAATTTTGAGCTGTTAGAATAAAGGGAAGGCAGCTAGTCAACAGCACTCACCACTAACTCTAGGCCTACTCTAGAACTAATTGACTATTGGGAAGACATATAGCCCATTGTGTCGTTTTGTGTC